ACGAAGGACCGTCACAACAACGATGCCACCGTATCGTTATTTTACACCGTAACAGAAGACATTTGTTCCAGGATGATTCAGGTGGTCCACTGCTCTCAAAAATTCCAAAGTTCCTGCACAATCTTCAAGGAGGTAACCTACAACAAAATTACGTATTGTCCTTTCATACAGTAGCCTGGGTAAAGTTTTACGTTCAAGGCCACACCTACAGATACACGAATACCAGATTATTCCACCGTGACGTGATGTGATCACTGTTGACCGGGGCGCCCATTTTGAACAGGAGCATGATGACGTTTTTATAGGATTTAGGGTGACATGAAATTTATTTGAGGTCGAAGTCTTTTTGCATCGCTCATGAGACACACAGAATTCCAGGGAAGAGACCTCGGTCAATCCTAGACTGAAAGTTTTTGAGCCCATTGAAGACTCCTTGCCACTTGGAACCGTACAGCGAGGCGACGTCGCTTGGCACTTTAAGGTGAAGTGCCAAGCCTGCGAGAAAGTAATCTCGTCATCAAAAACTTCCATTTCAAGCTTAATCTCAGTTGGCGTCTCAAACATAATTTTAAAATATATTGCAGTATCAGTATTTGAATATTTGTATTTCTGCCCTCAGTGAATTGTATTCCTGTATTAGTATTTCTAAAGACTTTATGCTTATTTTTAAAATGTATCTCCGATACGTATCGCGATAGATTTTTCCAAATATATTGCATTATCAGTATTTTTGCTCCTCTTTTCATCTCTCCCGGTACTTGTATTCCCAAATACATTTTTGAGTATTTCTGCCCAACCCTGGTATGGACCTTAATTTTTGTCGACATGATTTATTGCCATTCGCGTTGCGAGCGGCGCTATCATGTTACTGAGAACTATAATAGTTGCGTGTCGCTGTTGCGTATACCATGTGAGATAAAATGCTGTCACAGGCTCAACGGGAACTTCAATCAGCTTTACTAACCCAAGACATGACGAAAGTATGGTCCTGCTCGAGGCGGCTCGGCGTGAAAGCGTTGGAGTCTTGGGCTCCCGCAGGGACATGTACCGATCTATCAGCACACCACAGGCGCAAAAAGGTATGTTTGGATGAAAAACATGGATGGATGTGCCGGAAAGATCGCGGCGTGCTAAATGAGGTATGACAGAAGCTTATTAAAATAGACCCTGACGAGTATTGGAAACTGCAGTGCGTCAGCCTGGAACAGTTTCTGCATCTCCATTCGCGCGTGGAACTAAGAGCCGCGCCACAAACCGAACAAAAAACACAATGACTCGCCAATTTTGTTTTTCTAAAAAAAAAAAACTTTTTTAGATGTATTACACTAACTGCTTTTCAAGCTAGAGGGAGACTGAAGTGGTTTTATATTTAAGGGGACAGATCCCCAAAAGGGTCAACTTTTGAACCCTTGGCGTAAAATTAATGAAATTTACAGGGCAGGCTGATAGTCATGCTAGAGGATGCGTAACAAAATTTTAAGTCTGCCGGTTTAATCGGAAGGAAATTAGAGCAGCTTCTATCAGTAACACGCCTACATTGCTTAGTTAATCCATCGTTGGAAAACTATCACAATATTAAAATCGTTTTTCTGCTAGATATGTAGCGGAGTGCCTAGGGGGTGCGGCTATGGAAAGTTTCTTGTAAAAAGTAATTTATTTCTTTAAATGTTTTCTTTTGCAAAATTGGTCAACTTTTAGTCTTCTCTGGCTTCGACAAAATGGTAACATTTGTTTATAAAAGACATCCGTAAAGTGACAAAACAATTCCATAGCCGCATTCCTTATTAAATTTGAGTCAGGAAAAGTGAAGAACGAGCCGTCCCTTTATCGCCCTTATCAAACGATAGATTGACTAAAATAAAATTTCTAGCAAAAAGCGGAACAGAGAAAAGTGTGTTCAAATTGCTGCAAACCCTACCTTTTGTTTAGCTTCACTGGACAGAAAATAATGTATAAAAAAGTTAACCATGCAGTGTAAACTAATTAAACTTTTTGCGTTAAACCTCTAGATGTTAGTGGATGCAAATATATCATTTTTCAGAATCAACTTTTCTTGCAGAATGTTTTTTGTTGTTTTTTGGGTAGTTGCTTGCCTTAAGAAAAAACACCAAAATCGTCTTCATTTGGCCTCCCATGATCACGAGTATAAAAAACTATTTTTCAATTTGGCTCACGGAGGCTGCAGAAACTATTTTTTTAAAGTTAATATCAAAGTGCACGGGGCGTGGCGCGATACTAGGAGTTTTCGGAATCCCTGCTTAGCGCATCTTCAGCACCTGTCAAAGCTATCCGCGTGCACTCTTCCTGTGTTCGAAAAGGTCAGAGATAGACGTCACGACTGACGTCAGTGCGGAAAACTACACCTTGCAAGCTTCCGATTGCACGCGCTGCCCAAACGAGCGACACGCGCTTGGTGGAACAGTGGTTACAATACGACGTCACTACCGGCCGGAGGTTTTTCGGGTTTTCTCATGTTTACTATAAATCATCGTGGAAAATGAACATGGTATTCAAAGTCACGGGATAAAAATACTCTAGAATTCTTCTCTAACTCGTTTCTATTTTTTTCAAGCATTGTTTCAGCTTCTTTTCAAAGGCTCTCAGCTATTCAGTCTTTTCACTCCGCGCGCCCGCGGACTGAAATAATACTTTAATTTATTGCAGTAATTTGTTCTATGAAGAACATAGAAGCTTCGGTGTTACTAAATGAGAAAAAATACGAAATCTTTTTTGACGATTTACGATCAGGAACGAGTACAAGAGGACTCCGTTCATTTCGACCAATCGCCCGACGTGCCTCAATTGATGTCGAGGTTCACGTCATTCATAAGCTGGTTTTTTCCGCAGTCTCGGGCGCGACGCCCGAGAAAAAACATGGAAGGGACCATGAAGACCACTTTGAAGTTAACTTTAACGATTGATAGGAACGCCAAGCGCTTGCGCGCAGCACAAATTTATTGAATAGAACCAGCAACAATCACACCGGGACCGATGAGAGCTACTCTCATCTGTTCCGGTGTGATTGTTGCTGGGTCTATTCAATTATTTGTGCGACGCGCAAGCGCTTGGCGTTCATATCAATTGTTAAAGTGAACCTCAAAGTGGTTTTCATGGTCCCTTAGAGGTTTTTTTTAAGAGATTCGCGTTTGATTAATGACGAATTGCACTCGTCGTTATGGCGCGTTCCGGGATGCACTTTTTTGGAGGGCGCGTTTGCCACTGGTCTTTTGAGATGAACCTGGATGTCTATCGCACGCCCTTTTGGAGCAGCGCCGGCTCTGATTTAGGGTTCGGAACGCCCAGATCTCGATCGGCTGATCTTCCCGGAGCCGAGTGGAAGGCGATCTTTGGGAGACGTAACTTCCTGCCTCGTCGAGCATGACTGGAACGGCGGTCGACCGACTTGTGATGGCGGTTTCCGGAAATGACGATAGCCCAGTACGATGCGGAATGCCGGGACGACAGTTGGTCACTCTCGCAACCCTGTCGTCTTCCGCTGATGAAGTCGGAGGCACGGTGGCTCCGCACCAATCGGATGCTCCGTAGTGGATTTAGACTAGGGATCTTAAACGACCAGGAGAATGGTCGTTTTGACACGCCTGCGAACGCTTACGAAGAGTGAACACAGTGGCGTCATCTAACGGGCAGCCCTGGATACCTCACGGTCTCCCTACAGTTTTGGGTGTCATCCTTAGGCATTACTGTATTATCTCGTTAAAAAAGTAGGTTGATTTAAAAACTGAAAATAAATGTACAGAAAGGAGCACTCGCACCCCTAACTAAAGCCAAAAGAACAGCGTGCATCCCGTTATGGTGAGAAGAGACCAATGTCCCAATGTTGCCAGATTCAGCTTCTTTTGTACATACTCTGTATTCTAGAACATTTCGAGCATGAACGAGGGATACGTTAGAAAATGATAACGTTCTAGAACAGGGGAGAAAGATAAAATGAGAAATTTGGCTGGTGGGGCCTTAGCCCCGTGCCTTCCCGTGGGTGGTGAGCGCGACGCCATCTCGGTCGTGAATATGTCAATAGAAATCACTTGAGTAAACGTATCCCTCAAGAGGTGTTCTGAACTTCCCTAGCAGCAAGTGAGATGCCGCTCATAAAATACACGATTGTTAAATCTCAGTTTTACGTGCTATGACTGTTATATAGTGTATGGAATCGCACTTTTTTCTATCGAAGCGACGAGAGATTTGAGGAAGCCATTTGTCGAAAACCGCCGGTGTATTCTTCCGCATCTTCGACGCGTCTTCGTGACATTAACATGTCTCGTTAGCCGCGGCATTTATGTGTGGCCGGCATGTGACCTCACATCACATACTTATTTTCATGCATTGATGCAGAAGCCACGTGCTCAGCAAGCAATGGCCACCAGAATGGCCGCTGCTGTGACGTCAGTGTAAGCCATATTTAGTCTTCACCGCGATAACCAAACCGCTGGTATCTCCTTTTTGACGCCCGCTTCAATAGACCCTTTTCAATATTTAGTCTCACCTACTACGTGCAGAACCAAACTCGACGCTCAAATTGCGGCGCTACGAAGCTTCTACACTCTTGGAAAAGCGAACGCCTTTGAAAGCATACCACAGAGAAGCGGAGAATTCATTCTAACAAGTTGGCAATTTAAAGTCATCTCTTATTCACAAAATCGAGAGTGTTTCAAGGTAGACAATCTTGATCTTCTATCACCGACATTAGTGCGGAGAAATTGGAGCTATTGAGACTGCCACGAGATGGCTCTTACTTTTGAAAAGGGTCCATTGCCGGTGTTAATGCTCGTCTCGTGCAAAAGCTGTGTTTAACAACATAATAAGTGCAACTTCCTGTGTGCGTCATTCGACGTATTTTTTTCATGATCTCACATTATTGTATTGCTTTCATTATTATCGCAAAGGGCGCTGAATCTTTTCACCCTTTAAAAAGGTTCCTGACAAAGGCATTCTTTCATTTTGAAATATAAATTTCTCCCTCACGGACGTCTTTATGACGAAAAATGTATTCTGCTACACTCATCATTTTCAGCATAGCTACTGCTCACGCCGGTGATGTATTGATTCTATTTATGCAGAAGCTTCCGCATGGCGTTTTTCTTAGTGACGTAAAATAGAATTTTACATTTCTCCTAGGCTTCAACCTCCGAGCTTTTGGGCACGATAAACAGTTATCATGGAAATTCCGCACACAATATTGCAGACGAGAAATAATTTGTATTACGGCATGCACCATGCCCCCGAAACGCGTAGAATTTAAATAGGCTTCGGTAGACATACTGCATTGATGGTGTTCATAGATTCCTTTATAGTCGCTGACAAATAAGACGCGCAGGATGTGGCTTAATACTATAATCTTGATTCTTGCTTCGAGATTGCTTCTTTCGTGTTCTTATCCTCTAATACCGGAATCCTACTGGATGAGAAGAAATAATGAGATGCTCGTTAGTCAGCACGTCCTTCACTTTGGTTGTCAATGATTGTAGAAGCGGCATGTAGCGGCATATATAAATATATGCCGCTACATCACCCGATAACATGACGGGTTGATTCGGACGCTTTAATTCGTTGGTATTCTACCGGGCATCTAAAATAGCGGCCAGGCTATTTAAATCTACCGCAAAATTCGGTTTCTTAAGCCATCACTCTAGGATTTTGTGCAGCGTTGCCCACAGGGGGCGGGTATTTTTCAATAAAATTCGCAACGAGCGAACTTACCTGAGGAAAAAGAAAAAAAAGCAATACTCTTAATTCCTGTGGAAACCCAGCAGAGCCGCCGGTCTTCTGAATAGGGCGCCTTATTGTTTGAAAACTGGTGATTTCGCTGCGTTTCCATAGGAGTTAAGCCTTTTTTTTACATTTTTCTCAGGTAAGCTCGCTTCTTGTAAAGTTTATAAAACAAATGCACCACCTGTGTGCGAAGCTGCAGAACATCGTGGCGCGATGGGTTAAGAAACGGGATTTTGCGGTCGATTTAAAGAGTTGGCAGCTACCTGATACACCCGGTACTACATCCAAATGTCTTTAAAAACACAAGCAAAATAAAATTGAGACTAGATTAACGCAAACCTAGTGATTATATGTTTTTTATATCTGTGACATAGAATTTCCGAACGAAATTCTTGTACTCTCAACCACTCTGACGTCATATAAGTTCCATGCCGTTGGCCAGGATCCTGGCGGTGTCGCAGTGGTGGTGGTACGAGCCAAATGTACGAGCTTTTCATTTTAATTTTGCCCGGGAATTCTGGCACCAAGCGCAAGGGTTGCGACATCCGAGAGCATGACACTTCGGCTCCTGTGAGGTCGTGTGTAGAAAATTCGGGATTACGTTTAAGGTATGGATGCGATAGGATCTTTAACTCACCAGTCCCAGACGAGCTCTAAAGGCATCGTACTCCACAGTTCGGCCAGCCAAAGGGCGTCACAAATAGGTACAAAGCGACACCGAGGTCATCATACGGGAAACAGTTATTCTCGTATTCAACGTCTGAGGTACGTCAGGTGTGCGTAAAGACCAGGCACTTGGTTCCTCCTATTACACCTACAAATTAAGAGAGGATGCAAATGTTGCTCTTTAATGCGGAACGCCAATTGCATTGTACGTGCACGAATGCACAATAACGTAATGTTTTTGTTTTGCCCAGTTCCAAACTGCCAGAAATCCTTTCAAGTTGTTGGGTCTTTGAGAAAATTACGCTTCGCGCTTTTCTTAGCCTCTGTTCGTTCGGATTACGTGTACAATCGGAGTTACCAAATAGATCTGACTGTCCCAAAAGGATGTTCCATTGATCGTGGTGCCGTACAACTAGAGTGGTGAAGAGCGAAAAGTTCGACAGATTGTCAAAAGGTTTTCGCAAGAACAGGAACGTAGGCGTTGTACAAAAGATTAAGGTTATAACCATCATGAACAACAACTTGGCAACAAGGTAATCTAGATTCTTCAGTGCGTTTCTTTTATGTGGTATGGCACTCTAATAGCATTTTGAGGTCTAGCGAAGTAGCATATCTTCTCATCAGCTGCATATTAAGAAATGCATATGAAAGGATAAATAATGTTGACGAAACACGATTGGAAGATGCCCCCCCCCCCCCCTCTCCCTTCCCCCGATTTTCTAATTCTGTTCCGTTCAAACTATCCATATGAGTGTAGGCTTGCTTCCCGCGGTGTACTTTTATTGCATTACGTTTCCAACGTCTTGTCATTGCAGAAGGGCTTTCTTATTTTCGTTGAGTTAATTGTCCTTTGTTTTTGAAAGAGAACTTTGCTGGGAGATCTATTTACGATATTTTTTTTTATTAGAAAAACACCGTGACTTGTGACCAACGTTATCTTTTGTCGTCTTTACCGAGAAGTTTGTTGCGAGTATGGAGCGTCGGATAACAGGAGCGGTTACGTTCCAGGTGTCGTGTATCCGGTTCTGATTGAAAGCAGAAGCGGCAACTCAAGAGGCGCTGTTCAACTTTCTAAAGACTACGTCATAGACTTGGAAGAATCCAGTGTTTTAGGGGACAGTCTGTATTTTTCCGATGCTAAGTATGGAGAGGTGAATCACGAATTGGTAAGGAAAGATTACCTTTCACAAGAAAGCATGCTTCCGTCCCATTGGTTGAAATTCAATTAATTAACTTAAAAAATAAACATTCCACCTGTTTTTTTGCTCAGAAGTTTCTTTATGTGCCCGCTAGTGTCTTTGGAGGTTTTCGTACATCTCAAATTGCCGTTCAAGCAGAATTGTCTCCGCTTATAATAACGTAAATAACGCACATTTGTTTAAATGACGTGCCGACTCCCACGATTTCTTTTTTGCATTCATTGAAAAAGTTTTCTTCCTGGATGATTTATGCAACCATTCACCCCGATATTCGTTCTGCGTCTTGTTGAAATTCATTGAATGGAATCATTTACTGTGTTTTTATAAAATGCCATAGCTTGCAAAAAAAAGCATGAGCAATTCCACTCTGTAAAGGTGGAAGACCAGCGAAGCTGTTTAGCACACTACACAGACGTGTCAAAAAATTTTGAACAAAGGTACGACCAGATTTATTGTCTTGATTGGCGGTCATCGTGACGAGCCGGAGGCAAAAAGACACCCGCAATGCGACGGCCACCTGGCGGAATGAAGACGCGCGCGAAGGGACCGCCAATTCGGGGGGGCGGTAGGAACGGAAACTAGGCTCGCAAGCGCTCTGGACGACTACAAGGAGAGGGCGGTGCGAGAGTAGACATAGCGGATGCGGGTCGCACAAAGCCAAATCTTTGAGAAACGTTTATTATCTACCTGAGACTCTACTGATCTTGAAAATGGAGCCTATTGATAACTAATCTACTGAAGATGCATATCCAAGTGATGAGACATAAGCTTTTGCATAAAATGAAGCGATTTTGTACGAAATTCGGGAACTGAGCTTTTATAGACGCACACAAAAGATCCACGAAACCCTAGCGATAAATAGCTTGGCTATAAAAATAACCGTTTAGCATTTCAGCTGCTACTAATATGAATATTACTTCGCAGTTATTTTTCTCATTATATGTTCTTTTTAGATGGATACTACAGACATACGTAATAGTGTTTATGAAAATTCGGAACACAAGGCGTCCTTTACAATTACTGAAACAGACGTAGGAATTGAAATGGTATGTCCACATTTTTTAAGTATATATTCTTATAGGAACAATAAATACGATTATACAAATGCACAGAAGGTTATGCAATCGCTATTTATAAATCCTGTACTTGTTAACAACATAGATTTTCGCGAACATTTTATAAAACTGCAGGCTTTTTTAAGTTCCGTATAAAGGAGGGTGTATTAAGCATATTGGTACTTCACACCGCCACAGCGTCTAAAGAACATTATTTATGAGAATTTTAAAATACATATATAGAATACTTTCTCCATAAATTGCTTTCTAACCAATTGAATTTTTATTGAAATGTTTGTTCAGCGATTCAAAAACGGTCTGCAACGGGTAATGCCTGCAATATTCAGAAATCTTTCACTTTTTTAACAGGAAGGATACCTAAACTTTACACATGGAATTGAGCCATTGCGAATACATGACAAATCCGGCCGTGTCCCTCACAGAATATTTACGCTCCCAACGTCTGAAGAGGCGATTCACTCGGAAAGTAAGTGGCAGAATGAAACACTACACACTAAATATTTGTTGAAAATTCGATCTTCAAAGGCTAGACTTCCTAAAGCAAAAATGATTAGAAATTTTGAACGTACAACCGAATTCCTTCCTTCAGCGTTCGCTTCAGGTGCAATGTCAATAGTGGTATGCTCCCAGTTATTTGCCATTTATTCTCTCGATGAATTAATTCACCTCCCGTTTTTTCACTCTCAACACATTCTGTTTAAAGCGTGGCGAAATGACCGCAATAATTGATTATCATTGTAAAATGAAAAGGGGAAGTGCTTGCAAAGGCGACGGCCCCTGAGTGTCTCATTATTTTTTTACTTGCATCATTTCAACGGCTCCTGTATCAGTGATCTGAGTATGTAATCCGATGTTCAAAGTATTCAGAGTATCAGAGTATGTACGATCTCAAATCGTACCAATAATTAGCCCATTCTGAGTTAACGGAAGAGGTCAGTGGTTTGGCAATCGGAAAAAGTTCTTATATCCTTATACTCAGGACAACCTACCTTAAGTGCGTTCAAAGTTTCCGTTCTCTTTTTCTTAAATAATTTATTTGGGAGCACTTAAGAGTTCCAAGCAAACATGTTTCTACAAACGATATTTTTGACGCGGAATATACTCACAATTATAACGTACCTTATATTTGTACTTAATTATGCTTGCGTTTTAGGTAACACATGCAAAAATATCACTTCGTCGTCTTTTCTTTCAAACAAAAATAATTATCTACTTTATTTTGGAATAGTTCAGTTTTGAGGTGATGGTATTTGAATCAACACATATGCGCTGACATCGGATATTGTAACAATTTGAGAAAAGTATCTTGACGATATCTTAACGACTGAAAACCGCAAAATTGGGACAACAAAAAAAAACAAAGAATTTTAATTGACAGCAAAACAGGAACTATTCCTGTATAATTTTGCTGAAGAAGCATGCCTTTCACAAGTTATAACCTTTGACTTTAATTACTTTTTACATTCAGTATCACTATGATGTTTACAGTTCCCGTTGAAGAACGTTCTGATGAAAGTCTACCGCCAAAAAGTAAGCTTATTTTGTTTGTAAAACATTTAACATTTCTCAGCAATCCTCTCAACCAATTCTAGAAACACCAAGGAGCAGGCTGCAATTGCAGTTACATGCGCGGCATACATACTGGCCATTTTATAACCTTGATGCAATTTTCTGTACACAGTAGAAACCCTAATTTTTCTTCTTTAGGTTTTTGCTTTGAAGTATTTCGGTACACGGCAGCTAGTGCTGCACGTTTAACTACAATTCGATATCGCACTTTGAGGATTTAATGAATTGGAAAACGTTCAATTGGAAAGACAGTTTCACTATCTTGCACAGAAAGCAAGCTAACATTTTTCTCGCATCGTGCATATTAAAAAAATGATTACACATTTAATTCTAAACTTGGGATGCACTGAGGACATGTCATGATTTGAAACCTTCTAGGTGACACTGCAGAGCCACCCACCGTGTGGCGACCTGAAATGTACGTCATGTTTGACAGTGCAATACACAAGTCCCTCAATGAAAACAAATTGATACAGGCTCGATACATCATAAGGCTAATGAACATCGTGCGTATGGTTTACATTGGTTCTTGTTCAGAAATAATATAGTGTTTCTAGTTTTCATTGACCAAAAAAAAGTGCTTATTGAGGCTTTTATCCTCCAATTGCTGAGACCCGTTCGAATCCCTTATTTCTTCCACGAAGGTGAATGCAATCTTTAAGACGGTTCGCAAGCCCCGAATAAACCTCCAGCTTGTTGGAATATGCGGGTTTCAGGTGCGTACTCATTGTCCAGCCCCCACACATTGGTATCATTAAATTTGAAAGTCTTGTTATTGCCGACAATAGTGCAACACAATTGTGAACTGAAATTTTTTAGAAGAAAACAAAATTTTTGTCATATAAAGTCAACTTTTTTACTCGAAACCTTTTGGATCAGATTGCGCTTTGCCAAGGAGAATCGAGTGAGCGGAAAACAATAAATATTTGTCTAACTATAAATTATTGGATGTCTATGATTTAAATCAGATTCATTTGCGTTATACCAGATTAATTTATTTTACATTAGTACAGCTATAAAATAGTGTATTTGATGACTAGATGTATTTTTGAACATGACAGGTTGACTAATAAATCCATCCGACCACTAAAAATAATGCCGAAAAATTAATTACAGTAAATTTAAAGCATGGTTTAAGTGACTTTTTTCTTTATTAAACTTTGACTTTGTAGAACAAAAAGAAAACAGCTTAATATTGTATGGTTGCGCTTCGCTCAGACGACTGCTTTATGCTTGATTTCAGTGCGTTATAAGATTTTTTGTTTTCTTTAGCGATTCCTTGATTTAAAAAGCAAACAATGCATATACAATGCATTGCATGAGAGAATAATGGTAAATTATAAAACTATTTTGGGATTATTTTTGTGGAAATGTTTTTATTCAAAATATTGTAGTGAAACAGGTATGATTTAAAAACACTTTTGAAATAATGACAAAAATCACAATTTAAATCGTCCAGACTTTTATTCTCCACCATGCTATTAACGCTCATGTTTTCTGGGTTGCTAGAGTATTGTATTGGTCAGCTTGATGCAATGTTGTGTTTTTGATATGATAGTGCTGCAGAGCACGTTTACACAATTGTACCGGATGCAAAAATATGTTCAGTATTGTGATTTATATAATAGGTAAATATTGAAAATATTATTAGTTACTATAGAAACTACCACACGTTTAGCAATTTGTGTAAAATGACAACGGACATGGCAGTAAAATAGATAAAAATGTCCGCAAGTGATTTACCGTTTCTACTTAGACAACTTCTTTTCCTGAATTCGTGTGTTGGTCACGTGTCACAAAGTCACGGGACGTCATTTCTTCTTCTAAGTTTAGCGGAGAAACTGATTTGGTGTTGAGGTCACGTGGCGTCAATGTTCCTGCTAAATCTAGTAGGCAAACAAAAATTTCGTTTAGTTCACGTGACCAAGTCAGATGACATCACTTTTTCCGCCATATTGAGCGGAGAAACAACATTGTTCTATAGGTCACTTGACATAAAGTCATGTGATGTAATTTTCCTGTAAATTCAGAGGGTAAATAGCAGAGGTCGAGCAAAAATCGGGACCCGGAATCCATTCTTCATTTTTCTGAGATGCATCGTGGGCGCTGCAGCAGTATTGTAGGCGTCACCGAAAAAAAAGTAACGAAATACGTTACTCATTACAGCAGATGATATCAAGGTCATACCAATCATAGCTGTTGCCCATCTTTTGTGTTCTCCTCTACAGCATATATCTAACATTCCATTAGCAACTAGAGCGCCGTTCACATATATGCGCCCGAGTACGACCGAGAGAGACCAGACAGGTTTTTAAGCCGTTGGCGACGTCTTAGGAGCAGCCCCGCTGCAGCGGAGCTGGTCCTAAGAAGTCGCCAAAGGATAAAAACCGGTCCTGTCTCTCTCGGTCGTACTCGGTTGCAAGAGTGTGAACGAGCCTTAATACTTTTCCCCATGGCATGAAAATTCTAAGATTTCCTGTTATGACAAACCCAGGTACTTTTGACAACATTAATAACTATAGGCCCATATCCGTACTTCCCTTATTTTGAAAAGTATTAGAACATCGAAAACAAAAACGCCTAAGCAAATTTTTGAATGAAAGACATGTCTTTGTAATGCAGCAATACGGTTTTGAAGAAGAAAAAAAAAGTCAACAGAAAGGGCGCTACTTAGTATCAAAGAAAAATCAATCAACATTTTGAAAATAAACTATTTACCACTGAAATATTTTTTGACTATAGAAAAGCGTTTAATCTCATTAAACTTGATATATTGTTTTATAAACTATAGTTTTTTTAGAATTCGAGGTGTGTCTTTAGGTTTGGTGCGTAGTTAACTATCTTGTCCGTCACAATATTAAGTTTTAGGAATTAAAAGTAACCAGTGACGTAAATCCGTCACCCGTTACTCGAACTGCGTAACGTAGATACATTAACCGTTACTGTTTTAAAAAAAGTAACAAGTACGTTAAGCGTAACCTAAAATAAGCAACGCGTTGCCGGTTACGTCATTACTTGTAACGCGTTACCCCAACACTGGCGCTGAGTCATCAAACGCTGAGCAGTCTTTGTGTCAAAACACGGAACTCTATATTTCCCTCACACTCAAAAATATAACGTTGCACTCCGAAATAGAACGCTACCCAATCAACAGCGAGACAACAATCAGGGGCGATGTCCACGTTTGTATAGAGGAAACGCAGAGAAGAAAAGCGCCCCTACCTTGAAGGTTACATATGTCACAAACAGCGGCAGAAAGCAAACGGAATGGTTTCGTTTCGTTGCCGTTACAATTGATCAAGATGCGGGGCTTCGATTTTGACTGAAACGGACAACGTGAAAAGCAGATCCCGCAAGTTGCTCTATCCGATTTGTAATGACGATCAATTTATGCATGATAAAAAACTCTGTTATTTGATTCGTTTCTTACTTACTCTTATTAGCGCCACCAGGTATATGCTTAAGGGCCGTTAACATGCCATTGCACATTTACGTTCCTTTTACTTATAGGCGACCATAACCATGCTGCAGACGAGCCGGGGCTTGTGAGGGACCAGCTGCGCTTGGCGCTGAAAACGTCAGCAGCACCCAACCCGAATACGCCCATGCCAAGTTTGTTTAACGAGGAACTTCTCCAAACCTGCTCTGCAGTTTCCTTCCAAAATATTATATCTATCACACCTACGAAGTATCCTGTAAAGTTTCTTAAACGAAATCACAAAATTTATTCTAGGTGCCAGATGAAGACGCAGCAGATGTACCCACCTTTGCCAGCCTGAAGGATTCGATGTATCGCGAAAGGCGCTCAGCGCAGCCACCGGTTCCTTCATCAGCCGACACACCGCAAGACAACGACGCCCACAAAAATACAAAAATAGCAGAGCCCTTTATCATTGACGACCGCAGAGACCCTCGTCTTGAATAGTTGTCTTCGCAACACGAAGTGGCATGCAACGGCTGTCGTCAGTTAAAATTATTTTTTTTTTTGCAGACGGGGCTTTTTTTTTTTTTGTACCTTACATGTGTGACGAACTTGTAACTCTGCATGTTGTAACTGATGGAGTGCCTGGCGCCGCCGTTTGCTTTTTGTTGTCGGGTCGGCTAGCTACAAATTTATGCTCCTGCGTTTGAAGGGCTATAATTACGTTCACATCTGCTGGGATTCCTTCCTCGACCCCTGAAAGTTTCATGACGGATTTTGAGCAGGCGCTTTTTGGTGGTCTGCGCGTCGTGTTTCCCCAAGTTGTTCATCGCGGGTGCCATTTTCATTTTTGCGCAATAAATGTGGGCTTCCGTTCAGGGGGCTGGGCTCCAAAGCGCATATTCAAGAAACAGCCAGCTAAGGGCGTTCATTTGTAAGCTCGTGGCACATTCCTTTGTTTCGCCTTCGTACATCCCTCGCCCCTGGGCGTTTCTGCGTCGGGGCATATCTTGCTCGGTATTCGGGAGCTCATTGGATTACTTGATTACTTTGACGCGACTTCGATACGGGCATTTTCCAACTGGAGCGGTGGAACCATCACGGAAACAGGGGATACAGAACCAACAACCATTTGGAGGCATGGCATGAAATAATTAAAGCCATGTGGGGAAGATCGCACCCGAACCCTTTCGTGTTCGTTGATTTAATCGAGAGAGATGAGGCCCAAACAAGAGTCATCTTGCTTCAAGTTGAAAACGAGGGAGCCGTACGTGCGCGAGGCCGCAAGTGAGCTAAAAAAGTAAGAAAACTGGCGAAGAATGAAGTACGTTGTCACAGTGGCGTCATTTCGCGTTTTTTTAATTTCTTAACTATTCTCAAGTTTCTTTTGAAGTATAGGCATTGCTGAGAGCTTTAGCCGGAGAAATAGGTGTCTGAAAAAACTTGCAGTCGATTCGTTGTACCAGTGTGTGATGTGTGAGAAATAAAACCAATATAGGTTTGTCGCAAACAGATGGTATCACTCTAATCGAATGCGAAAAAATGGTTTTGAACAAGCCTGAAAGGAGGGAGGGGAAGGGGGGAGGGGTGCTAGTGCGTGCCTGTACACATATCTTATATCTGACGGTATGATGGGGCCCCGAAGAACGTAAGAAAGGAGCGTCGGTCTGTGTTGCGAAAAAGGGTTCCTGTGGTTCGGTGAGGGTAACAAGAAACCACTTATTTCCACCATGACCTTGCACTATTTTAATGTCGCGATTGTACTACACCGTGTATATGAATAAGAAAACGAAGACATATGTCTCAAAGTGATTGTGCCAATCAACAGCAATTTGGGATTTATCTGTCTAAATCAAAGTTCCAAAATCTCTCCTGTTCGCGCAGTCAACGCCGTCGTTTTTTTTTTTTTTTTTTTCGAAGTAACCATTCGTTTTCTATTTAAATTGTGTACAATATTTATTTTTTTCGCGACAGATGGCGCTGTGAAATCAAAACTAGCTCATTTCTAGTTCGTTTTCGCAAAGGTCCGTAAGTTTCATTTGGCTTATTTTACTTAGTAGACTCAATGAAAAGTATTGCAGAATTTGATAAACAATTAGAGCTAGAAACATTTTTCATATAGAAAGTACTACTTTTTGATGATAACGGCGGTCTAATTTGTGATTGAAAAAGTAATAAAATATAAATATTTTCGTTTAATTCTTTATGTTTACAGACGAAAGAAGATGAGTATTTCGTTG